GGGGGGGGGGTCTGAATTGAGCGATCAATTATTAGACCCGGACGTCCCAACACTTGCTTCGCAAGACAAACTCAAGGTATCCCCTAAAGGGCTACCTTTCGTGACTATCTCCGGCAGCTTCATCAAGTTCATCTTCATGCAACACCTTTCTGAGATCCAAAGTGAAAAATCACTGGTCCTAGCTGGAAACCTGCAGCTACGGTAGAAAGGGGATTCACCAAATCTCACCCTGGCATGTTCTTCAATTGAGCGTGTAATAAAATAGGGAGACCTCCCAAAGACCCTGGATGAAGGGAAATAGATCAGTCTTTAATTTGTTAGGGCTCCCCTTATCAAACTACACACCCCAATGCTCGAAAAGAGCACGTTCCGCTTCGGTGGGTGCAGCTGTCCAGCTCCCCGGACTCAGCCCGGCGGCAGCAGGGTCCATGATGAAGCCTTGAAGTGCCTGGCCTCGAAGCAACCCTTGAAGAGTCGGAACCAGAACGGGGCTCGAAGAGTCAGAAACGATGGACGGTTTGAATGATCGGTCGAATTCTGTGCACCGAAGAACTGAATGATGTCGGCTTGCATTCGATATTCTTCGAACAAAGGGCACTTTCGGAGTACCACAGGCCCAGACGCTCCATGTATATATATATATATATGCCTACATTGACCCCTGAAACCACCCCAATGATACATGGAGTGTTTGGGTTGGGCATCGCTGAAATCAAAGCCAATCCCATCGTCCCTGCGTCACCCCAAGTCCCAAGTGGTGATGCCACCATTCGGACCCAAACCAGGTTCTTCTTCAAGGGATTCGACGTTGTTGCCACTGGCGCCGTTGTGGGGTCCATGCTTTTGTTGGAGCTCATGGGTTTTGTGCCTGGTGTCGGTCAGGATTGTTATGCATTTGTCATTATGGCTATGGTTTCTTATTGATGTTGTTATGTCGTGGCTCGTCGTTGTGCTTGTCATTGATGTTGTTGTGTTTGCTGTTGTCGGTGCCATTGTGGCTCGCCGTTGGTCTTGTATGATTGATTTTGCATTTTATCTAAACCATGAGCCTGTGTGCGGGGTTCCCTTTGAGCTTGAAAACCTTACGATTGTGATTGAGTTCTAATAAGGAAGTCAAATAATGTTGCTAAAGAGTTTTAGGGATTGTGGAACTTATTAGACTGCAGCTTAAATGTATAGATATTTATTATGGGGGGCCCGAGCTGGGCTTCATTAATAAGGGATGGTGACTTAATCCTAGGTGCTCATTCCTGTTCTCTGCAACAAAACATGGCGTGGGCCTGCCTCTAGAACGTTTGTTGGCCTTCTTCCATGCCTTCTTTTTAGGATCGCTTAGCGAACCCAACGAAACCCCAGAAAACGACACCAGAACACCTTTCAACGTTTCTCTCCAGAGTCTCCAACACCCAAACCACAAAAGGTAAGAACCGTCATAGGAATAAAGCCCGATACTATAGGGTTTTACAATCCAAATGTAGCTTTGATGAATCGGTGGCGCCATGGGTGCGGCGCCGCCCCCATGGCGAGGAACCCCTCGTGCCCGACGTGGGGAGCCATGTCCAAGTGGCAAATGATCAACGCAAAGCCTCGGAGTGGTCCGCCCCGGTGTTTTCCGCTCCGGATTGGGTGAATTTTCCTTAAACAAAAAGGGTGGCGTAAAGCTTTTTGCATCTGTTAATGTTCATAACCATTGGGAAACCAATCCCCCAGGTTATCCACTGACTGGATAGGAAGTCCTGGAGTCCTCAGCTTCTCTTGTGCTCAAAGTTTCGAAGACGGATCTCCCTGAAGACGGTGCCTTTTCGGGGGACTTCCTCCAGATTTGGAGACAAGAAAGCTCTCCAAGTTTCTCATTCAATCATTGACAAATCCAAGCAAATCCTGCATGGACTTGTGGAGATGCAAGGTTGCATCGGCCTAATTGCGACATTCATCACTGACCACCACGGAAAAAAAAAGCCGCTAGCCGGGCTAGCCGCTAAATTCTAGATATTCCACACACGCATACGATGGTATTGCGTCTTCTGGGCTTACTGGCTGGTCTGGGGCTCACCTTGCCAAGCAAGAAGCCTAACTTCAAGACCAGCAAGAGGACCATGGACCAAAACAGGGCGCCGATGCTGGCAACGCAAGTCCCCACCTCAGTTGAGATTTGACAACTGCCCTGGATGGTGGGATGGTGGCAAGGCTTTCAGCATTTTCAGCCTACTTGGGATGAGACTAACCCCGAAGGCCGTGGGCTGAGGCTTCTACCAGGACACCATTGTAGTTAGTACAGCACTGACACACATTCACAGCCAAAGAGAAACAGGTCCCGACTTCCACAGCCAAAGCTGCCAAAAATCAGTCCAAACAAGGTGGGAGGAAAAACTCGGGGAGATCCCTCAAAAGCCTCTTGGGAAATTCCCAAAACCGACTAAATCCCTGGGTTGGGAGATGGGGGAGGCATCTCAAAAAAACCTCCGGGAAAATGAACATTGATTCAACTTAATCGAATTGATTCCCTTGCTTGGTCCCTTTTAACTATTACTAAATAGTAATACACATTCACTAATTACTCTCCCTGGAACTAACATGGAAGTGGATGGCACCACCACTTGCTTGGTTCGTGGATTTCATGGCCATCCTTCCGGGCCCATGTCGTCCACGGAACCGGCCTTTCGGGGCCGTCCAACTACATCCCAAGGGTCCAACAATCTCAGCTGGCGAAACATCGTGAGGGTCTTCACGATCCGTAGCGTTCGCACGATCCGCATGAGCTTCACCACCCGCAAGCTGTTCGACTGTTGGTCCTGTGCTGCGTGCGCTGCGGGGCCGTCCGACCCGTGCGGCGTCGACTGCGTGCGTCGCCTGCGTCGATGCTGCGCGCAGACCGCAAGGCCGAAGGGTTTGGGGATGTTTTGGAGGAGACACTTTGGATACATTGTGTCTTTCGTTGAGTGGCCGATGGACGCACCTTCAAACGACTCGACTATCAAGCATCTTGGCCAGCTATCCCCAAGTCCAAAGGAGAGGTAAAACTGGCGTTAAACGGTTAGCGTAAGGGATGCATTTCACCTCCCAACTTCGACCTTTTGCCTTGGAAATCACGGGCCTTTCACGTCCTCACGGGCCGACCCCGCCTTGTCTCCGCTTTCTGCGTGGAACTGGTTCAATGCGTCGACCCACTGGGATCCCCGGACGACGGACGAGCCGGGGTGTTGTGCAAGTGACATGGTGACCTTCCTCGTGCGGAATGGTCGAGGAATGTCAAGGACCACTTCACCTGCCCAGATTTGGCATGATTTGGCCATGTAAATGTGGAAGAGCCGATTTGAACACACTGGAATCACCCTGCAGATCTGTTCAAACCAACTTGGGACTTATGAGGTCCTCTGACGGATTCATTTAGATCATGAAAGACATATTGAAACACGATAAAACGTCCAAATGGTTGATGAATAACTAGAGGCCTCCTTCCTCCATTCCTCCTTCACTTCACCGGCACGCGGACGTTCCACCGATCCGAAGGACGTGGCCTCACACAGGTGACCGTCCTTAAGGGGTCACACCTGGCCGTTTCCTCCGGTGTCACCGTTTCCTCCTGCCCAGACGCTCCAAACAGCCCTTGGTCCCTCAAAACCTAGGGATTTGAGACCCCAGACCCCTCCACATGAGGGTCCGACCCTTCCATATGAGAGCCCATGAGCGTCTGGGTGGGAGGTTTCTTTTTATTGCCATGCCATCGACGGTCAAGTGCGTCACATCAAGTGGCGGAATGTACGCTAGTCAGCTAGTTCGGATGACACAACGAAACATAAAATATAAGCACTAAAACACGTAAAACAACACAAACTAATACAAAACACATGCCGCAAAACAATGCACAAAAACGCACAAACAAGTCACCAAGGAAAGCGTTGGAATGCAAGAAAGGCAAACCAAATGCGACAAAGCCTAATTGCCCACAAACAACTACAAAAAACAATGCAAACCATAAAGCAAAACATGCACAAACAAAAACAACAAAAAGCAACACAAAAGCCATCACATTTGCATGTGTTACGCTTTTATGTGCCTTTTGCATCCTTTTGCGTTGTTTTTTGCATTTTTGTTTGCATTTGTTTGTGCATTTTTCCTTGGGCAAAATCCAAAACAATCACAAACACCACGCAAAAACACCGCCCAAAGAACGCAAACACATCGCACACACAACGCACAAACATCGCAAACAAAAGGCAAAAAAAAGGTGGTAAATTTTGGTTGTGGATGTGCAGTTTTTGTGTGTTTTGTTTGCTTGTGGTTTGCTTCTTGTTAAACATGTTTTGCGTTGTGTTTGCTTTTTGTGCGGCTTCCTTTTGCAAATGTTGTGCTTTTGATATCTTTTTGACCAGCTGCGTGTTTGCCTGTTTAATGCGTTTATTTTGCATTTCTTGGTCAATATTTCTGAGTGTGGTTTTGCATTTATTGTGCGTTTGTTTAATGATGTTTTGATATTTCAGAGCTAGGCCTAGGCTGTAAGGCACATCACAAACTTGAGGGCTCACAAAAAGGCATCTTTGGAGCTTTGAAGAAGATCTCCCTCTCAAAACCTCTTCAAGATCAAATTTTATCGTAAGAGTGGGTGCCACTTGTGATCCGGACGCAGTTGTGGGGATTCAACTCCAGTTGCATCCACCACGGCGGTCCTGGCTAGTGCCAACCAAGAATAGAGGGAAGAGGAAGAGCTCAAAGACGTTGAGACCCACCAGAAATGCATCGAAAAGATTCAAATACATGATCCCCAGCCGGGGATCAAAGACCCATTCCTGAGCTGCAAAGATATACAGTATCACTGCACATCTGCCAAAGTACTGAACATGCTCCCGAAAACTATTGAAAACCTATGGTTAAAAAAAAGGGTGTCATCACTGAGTCATCACATATCCCAGAAATTCAAGGGGTGCATCTGAAAATGGAGTGACGCCAATCTAAACATCTGAAAACACTACCTTGCTATGTCCCCCAAGAGTCGTATCAACCTTCCCGCCGATGACAATAGACCCAGTGGTAATGTAAACGACTGTTGATGAAAAACAAAGATTGCAAAACTTCTCCATATGATCCATATATGGCACATGGGTGTTTCATTATCAACAGTCTCCATTATTGCCATTGAAATCAATTTACCATTTTGTACCATGCAGCACATGTACAAAAACGACCCAAAACAAGGTCACGCCGGTCACGCACATCCTACGCAACGGTCCCTTTGTCGCGCCGAAAAAAAAAACGCCGCAACGACTCGCTCGTTCGGTGAGTTCGTTCGGATCTCGGACTCTCCAAGGATCTCTTCGAAGGACGTAGATTCGCACCAGGACATCCAAGAGGTAAAAGCCAAAGAAAATGTACTCCTCAGGTCTGCTAGGTCTGAACCCCCGGAACCCCAAGCAGGTCCTTCTCCGTTTCATGTTAGCTGCAACCAGCTCACTATGGGCCACACCTTGATCAAAACCCATTCCATCATGCAGACTGTTGATAAATAAAGCCAACCATACCAGTGTGATGAGGTTTTACTTGGTCTATCGCCTTTTGCAAACTAATTCGTAATCCTCAGGAGGCCTGTTAGGGAGATCTTCCAGTTCCCGCAGAACACTTGCCATTGGGAACCTCTGATCCCGTGTCCCCGATGATTCTCCCGCTCTGGCCATTTGAGCCATGCCAATTCCGAAAAACATGATTCTTAGCAAAGACGCTTCTTTTTCGGCACTCTACCTTCCCATTTGCTTCGTTCGATTCGATGCCTGTCTCCCTGTATCCTCAAGACCGCTCAAGACCCACCGAGTCCCGTCGGATTTTCTCCGTGTTCATCGCGCGGCGCGTTCCGTTGAGAAGAACCGCAAGGGAAGTGCATCTAACTGGGGGGGGTTGATTGATCAACGAAGGCTTCAACTACCTCCAGTATTGGGACCAAAACACACACAGTACCCACCCAAAGACTCACCATGAACAGCGGGTGCCGAATGGCCCTGGACCAGATTGGATGCTTTGGACTGTCCTCTCAGACTTGCTCGTCCAAAACCGTGGCAACGGTGGACCGGGCTTTGCAGTCCGTGAACATCGTCATCGACTTCAGTGAAAGTATATATAGCAGATTGGGCTCTTCATATAGATATTGGACAAGTATGCTCGTGTGCCCCAACTCTACATTTTTGAAACAACATGAAAACATGCTTCCAACCAACTGTTTACTAGTTTACCTTGATGCTTGTCGTTAGTTCAGTGCATGCTTTCAATTCAAGGCTTTAATCCACGAAAGGCTGTGTCAAAGAATGATGGACATACAAGTTGTCTCAACAGAAATGGTCCCTGCATTTGCACCACCTATAATCTGAGGTCACTGAGATATACATAAATCGTTACTACAGTGACTTCAGAGTAGACGACACAAACCCAAGATGTCTTTCGATGGGGGTCCATACTCTCAATTGTTTGATAAACAATGATCATCTACAAATGATAAATATGCACACTATAATGTACATAAAAAATACATACAGAGCATAAACATAACTCGAGCCCAATACTTGGATCTGCGCAGGGAACGGATCCCTTGCCCGTGCCTTTCCTCCAAGACGGTACGAAGGTCGTCTTGTTCCCTATGGTCGTTTAGAAGATACTTTCTTCATCAGTCGCTCATGAAAAACACATAGGATTCTAACTTGGAGTTCTGAAAGGGCGCTCTATTTTTTCCGCGGCGAAATAAACACACCAACGCATATGTGCACCACCATGATCACAAAACGTTCCCAAAGGTCAAGCTTCCGCGATTTCGAAGGTCGCTTCAGAGAAAGGCAGGTTCTCGCCTGACGAGTTAAGTGGGAGGTTCGCCCGTTGGATGGAATTGGCTGGGTCCTTTGAGCTCACCAAGCCGAAACTGCCCGAAACTGGTCGATGTGTTATTTATTCTTTTGTATCGTTTGTATGCCATTTTCATCCATGTTCTCATTCCGTGCTTCGTGAGAGGTGCAGCTTTCTCAAGAGCTGGCCCTGTGAGTTCTGCAGTCGGATCCCTTCCATTTCCACCAAGTCAACAGGGCCCAATCATTGGAGAAGGCCCGGTCCGGTTCAAACGGTCCGGCGTTTTCTGCTGGTCTTAGACTCTTAGAATCTGGGATAGAATGGGTGACCCCCCTGATAGGTGGTCCAGTCATGCCCAGTCCAGGTGGTATGAGCCCTTTTGAAGCTCCCTTGAAACACCCAGCGATGTTTAGCTCGGTGGTGTGTTTTGGATGCCAAGTCACTGGGAAGATCCAGGCTCTCATTGGCTTGCGAGCCTCGATCTGGGCAAAAGGGTATGTGGTTGTAGATGCATGTATACGGTAAAATCATGTCCTGCAAAAACTGATCAAAGACCTACAGTGCACAAAGCCTGGCAATCTGGTGTGGTCTTTGGAATTGGCTTTAGAACACACGCAGAATCAAACATGAACTGATATGAATTGTATTATCTAAACATGTACCGTATTGTTTGTCAATATTGTTCATATATATATATATATATATACCGGCGGACTGAAAGATAGAATGCCATGTTGGACCGCCGAGCAGGGACAAATGTTGAACTTTTCATAGGGGATGGCGTTTTGGAGTCATTCCAACTGAAACCTGCTTTTTTACAGGGTTTTTGAACTTGGGTCTTTGACATGTCCTAAAGCAAATAAAACAGTGATAGCAAAATTTGTTGAACACTGTCCTTTGTACTGGATTTATGCGTGTAAAATGCAACTTCCTGCCCTGATCCAGCTGCATTCAGTGGCTTGAACTGACGATTTGCTAGGGATTGAGCTCTACTGCACAAAAGGATTATTTCCAAGAAGGTGTTGCTTCAAAAAACATGGTAGCATGTTGTTTCCTTGTCCTTTCCTTTTGTCTATTCTGTAAAAGCTGTGGCATTCAACGTGTGCCCCTCTTTTGCTTTGGCTGCATTCTATCTTCCAAGAAATCCTGGTGTTTACCTGCAGTTTCGAGATTTGTCAACATTCACACTCTGTACTGGTAAGACCCTAGCATTCTAACTGTTCATTTCTCTTGACTTGAAATATCCTGGGAACGGCATTCTTACATCCTATGGACAAATATTGAAAACATAGGCGTTCTATCTTACAGTCCGCCGGTATAATGAATGTTCCTTGACATCCAGTGATGCCAGTGATACTCACACTCCCAAGTCACAAGGGCCTCTCCATCGCCTCTCTCTCTCCATCTGCGGAGCAAGCCGCCCATCCACTGGGTCATCACGATCATAAAACTCAGGTTGATGATGACCTGGTCGGGGCAGGCGATGCTCGGCCGATGTTCCTGGGAGGAAGGGAGGAAGTGGGATCGACCGAGTAGGCGGTAGACTCTTGATGAATAAAAAGCCCCCCTGACTTTTGGAGTGTGAAAGATCTTAATATGGGAAGAGTGATTCATCGAGAGTCTAAAACATATAATATACCAGGGCCCCCGGATAGGGGTGATTCATGGATACCCCTTAACCTCTAAGGAACTATATTATAATGAGACACCCCGAAACGGGGGGGCCCTGGTATAGTATTACCTTGGAGTTGCCGCTGCCCAGGTCACCAGTCCCAGCGATTGCCTGGGACTGGGGCCGACCCCATGCCTCTGCCGGCTCCCTTCACCAGGATCCATCCCCACCAGGGGAGACTGGGGATCTACAAGGTCGGTTGGGTTAGATGATTTCACGGGAAAGACCCCTTTCTGACGTGTCTGGCCTCGACTCCATGAAAATCCACCATTATCTCGAGTTGCCGCTGTGAAATGACCCCAAAGCTGATGTCCAAGGTCTATAGGGGACCAAAAAGCCATATCATTGTATGATTTTTTTCGGAGCTTCACCTGATGGAAGCACCTCGCATTTGGGTTCGTCACCCAAGCCTCCATTCACTGGCCAGCTGCCCCCGTCCTCGATCGACCCTATGGACTACCATTCGCCCAAGTGGCGACCAGGCCCATGTATCCGTCCAATGGCCCCTTCACAAAGGACTTCATCGGAGGGTCCGGCTCCCACCTGCGAGGTGGAAAGCATGCGGCCTGGGGGATGCAAAAAACAGTTTTATGGTCATGACATGTCATGACCCGTTTTCTTCTTTAGTCACCCAAGCAAAAATCCGAATCATCTTGTGTCAAACAAGTGTTTGAGATACGGCAGGTCAGAACTTCCCAAACGCATTCTCGGCCATGCTACACTTTCACTCCAATTCGCGTCCATCATGAGGGCCCAAACCACCGGCATTACACATTGACCCCATGTACTAGGCGACCCGTGGATGTCTGTATCGTAATTTTAGGGCGTTTATATCGAAGGAGGATGTATTTTGCCTTTTCATCCAGAATCCTCCGGCCCTCCATGGCAAGGTTTTTCTCCACCGAAATGCAGGGGGTCCGGACCCGAGCCAAACCCTTCCTTTTTGACGGCCGGGGGACATGAGCAAATTGTATGGGGGGGGGGAACGTGGTGTGGAACCATGAATCTCCATGAATCCTGCATCGGATGCATGTTCACAAGGGACCCTCCCCCCTGACCTGCAGAGACCTGCAGAACCGTTCCAAGAACCGGAGGTTCTTAGCGCAGACTGTCGGTTCTTCCGCCCAACCAGCGTCCTCCTCGGCCCCCATCTATGTCATCCTCCGGCTCGTCCCTTCCCTTCCCCCACCTTTCACTGAGCACTTGCGTGCCCAGCATCCGCGACTTCCGCGGACTCTTCGGTCGAGGCGGATCGCTGCATACGGAGCCGACGCCGGTGAAGTCGTCCTGGGAGAAGACCTGGACATGGTGAAGGCCGAGTCTGCATGTTTGCCGAGTCTGTAGGTGTTCATGTTGCCCAGCTCTTGTCATATTACCAGATGCCTATAGATCTTAGAATTGTTCTGGTATGTTTTTGGTAGCAAGCAGAATGTGGAGAGCGCTGCCATATAGCAAGACAATGCAAGACATGTTTTGACTGTGATGTTTCGTCAGTTTCATCATACAGCGACTCTTCTGCCAACTGACAGCTCACGGGCATAAACAATGGAGGGGCTCTTTGAAGATCGAAGATGTAAGAGTGGGTCTTAAATATATAATATATATATATAAGACACACTCCTCCACTCAATCGGAGTCCCACCACATGGACCCAAAACCCACAAGGCCAAGGCAGTTCTTCGGTTCTTCGGCATGTCCAGGCTCAAATCCAAGGAGTTTCAGGCCCCCCAAAGTGTAAGTGAGACCAACTGGGCGATCTGGGGCCAACTCGGGGGGGATACCCTGAGATCTTGGACTTTCTCGGCAAGCTTCGTGCAGGATCTCGGGCTCCTCCTCAATCACCTCGCGGGTCGCTCGCGACAGCTGGTCCAAGCCGGACGGATCGAATGAGCCCAGAGGAAATATCAAATGGTGTCCAACATGTAAGGGATTCCAATCGATTCATATGCCTCGACACTGGTGTAGGTCTGTACATATATATATATGTGTGTGTGTGTATACAGTATATATACTTCCCTGGAGAGCCAAACGCCCAACATTTTTCTGGTGAAAAGAAATACTTTAATGTTCATTTCAATCAAATGGATTATGGCTTTCCAGGTTTGCATAGATCCCTCGCCCTCGCCTCCACTTGGAATGGGCCATCTTGCTCGTCCAAATGGGAGCCCCTCATCGTGGCAGCCTCATGACAATGGACGATGGTACACTACCCCAAATCAGTGAATCAGCTAACCAAACTGCTAATCAATAAATACCAAAATGAACTCCTGCGACCAATGACATCTACTCTGTCTATAGGTATGATTCCATAACATGTTTGTTCACTTTGACAAAAATGATAAAGAATATGCATCGGCTTCTGATCACCTGGTCCATCAAAACGACCAATCTCCAAACTCCAAACCATAACTTGTCCATCACATCGCACCAAACGAAGTGGATCTTAGGTCGAACACGCACGACGCCAGGAGATCTACCAATCTGAGAGCAACCATGCAGTAAACGTACACTAAACTTGAGCAGCGCAAAACTCAAAGGTGTTGACGACTCGAAATTCAACACTTGTTGAGCACTACAATGTTAGAACCCCAAAGAATCAAAAGAGTATCAAACATGCAACCGGGCCTTATGCAAGAACCAACAGTATGGCTACCATGCTGCATGACTTCCTGCAAAAAAAAACAACTCACCAGAAGTCCAAAAGCTTTCATCAAACAAACAAAGAAACCACACAAACACACAAAAAAACAAAGGAAAACACAACGACACAACACAAAACAACAACAACACAAACAACAAACAACACGAACTTGGCACTGTCCAGACGTGTTTGATGAGTGCACATGCGTGACCCGCGCGAACAAAACATATGATAATTCCATGGTGTTATGTCATATGTCCGACACATATTTTTATGGACATAATATGGAGTGATGACACATTTGGCCCGTAGCGGGAAAAGGTGGATGTCCTGTCCTCTACAAATCGAACCAGTCAAGTGCCAGTTGCCCAGCTTGACAAGTTTTGCGGGATCCATTCCTGGAATTCTGTCTTTTGAGATCTCTGATATCATCCATCAATCATGCCAACAATTGGGGTGCCTGCTTGGTTGGTGGTTTAGCTGAAACATAGTACAGTAAGTGGGTTCAATCAATCATCCCCCAAGTAAAGGTTGAACACAAAATCTCTACCCAGGAGCCAGGATCACCCAGGTGTGTTCGACTACGGAGGGTCCGCCCTGGCGCCGCTTCGGTCGTTTGGCCCAAGCACCGCATCGTTCACGACAGAGCCTCGCATCCTCGACTTCGACAGATACAAAAGGTCCAAACGAAAGGAGTGGACAAAGGTCCAAAGGTTCAGGGAACTCACCACCGTGACATATGGACTATCAAGGTACTACAGCACAATTACGTGTGCATATATATAATATATATATATATATATGTACCGGAACAGCATTTCAGCCATCCAACACATTACCGTAGACTGGAGAGTATATAGTAATATTTTTCTATATATATGTATATATGTCTATCTAGGCGTGTATATGTAAATTTACAAGACATAAATTAAAACACCAACTATCACCAACTTATATATGTCAACTGAGTTGACATTCAATAAACACCAAAGATCACCAAAGCAAAAGTCAACCTTTCACCCCTCTTTCTCATGCCAAGCATCGCAATTGATCCGCGCATCCCCATGCTCTGCATGCTCATAATGGAGCCACGAACACCGCCAGCGTCGAGCGCCTCCGCTGGCATGCTCATCATGGAGGCCCTGTACGCCTCCGAAGTGAACCTCGTCTGGGGCGGGTTTCCAGCGTACGACTGCAGGTTTTGTGAGCGTACGACGGACATCTGATCTGGACGACTAGTGAGGGGCACTTGCATAGCAGCAAGCCACAGGACTAAGGGATATATAAGTGCCTTGGCGATCAGGTTGGGAATTCACATGCAGTACCTTAAAAATCTGCTCAGTTTAACAGTCTTGATCTCCGCTTTGCAACTCAAAAAACTGTATGCCGCATGCAGCAAAAACGTCAACTCTGTCACGAGAGTTCTTTTAGCCTTCCTGCGATGATGTCCGCAAATTCGCTCTGGTGCCCAGTTCACAAACTCATTTACACATTGATGGACATGAGCCATGATCCCGTTGGCACGCCCGGCAGTGGCCAGGTTCCTGCTTCATCGGTGCCCTCCAGTTGTGATGCACGACCGGCCCGGCTTCCGGACAGTCCGGTGGTTCGGACCGCTGGCACCGATGGACCAAGCATGTGCTGGCACCCCAAGACGTGGTTAACCACTAACCACCGGACCACCCGGGGGGTTCTTGTTGGTCAACGAGCTTGTCCCACAACGATGTTGTCCCACCTGAATGGCCCATTCTCCAGCAATTGCCGGATCACAGCCTCCTGCTCTTGTGGAAAACAGGCGGGTGCATGAACCGCTTGACTTAGAGCTTGTTTGAGGAGAGATTTGGCTCAAAATGACACGCATCTATCTATATTCGATATGTTGACTTGATAGATAGTGTATGACGTATGATGGGTTGTGCCACCTGCTCTGAACACACACAGCAAAAAAGAGTCCTGGATGTGCACAAACTTGCAATCTTTAGAACTTTCCGCTGTCTTTCAAACGGGGGCTATGCGGCTATACGGCTACTATAGGTGTCAAAAAACGTCTTCCGGTGAAGAACATGTGGCTCAGTGAAAACATCTTCTTAGCATCCGTTTGCCTCTTGTTTTACCAACTGGTCAGCCGTGGGCCCCCCTTGGATCTTAGCAAAACATACCCGCACAACACCATCATGTGTGAGTCAAGGGTCCAAAACTGAGGTGGCTGGTCTAGTCCATTCTGTGCATTTTCGGTCGTCAACCACCCCCGGTGCCATGACCAAACACCGCCAAGTCCATCCAATTGGAGCCGCCGGCGGTGAATCCAAAGTCCTGTATAGGATGTCCATCCATAGACCGTATCCATGCCCAAAAGCTTTACCCACGGATCATGTTCAATCCTTGAACCAGTTCCAAAAATATCACCAGTTTCGAGGATTGACCCTACGGGGAAGTTCCAGAACCCAACCGAGCACCAGGCAAGTCTGACGTCGACCACCGGGGCCAGGCACGGGTCCTGCTCGGCAAATTTCACGTCCAGCGCCTTGAGAAACCATGTGCATGTCTCCTCCGCCTCCTGCAGCGTACCGCTTGACTGGTGGCCCAAGCTACTTACCTTTGTAGCTGTCTTTCCCGCTTAGCTGTCTCCTTGGGATCCTCCCAAAATCCCTTCGGCCGAGCCGTGACTACTCGTCATTCCGATGATTGCAGGACACACGCACACACACACGCACATGACGCGAGGGAATGAGGGCTCCAGCTTTTGCTTTCCCAGATTGGTACTTTCCATGAGGCTTTCCCGAAGGCAAAACCTGACGAGAAGAGGAAATCCCAAACTGCTCTATGGTTTGGCAAGCTATATACCTGCTTTGACAGGCCAACGCTGACCTCCAGAACACCCAGTCAGGGCGCTGGAAGAAAACAAGGCAGCAGGGAAGAACAAACTCGCGTCATGCCGCATGGCTCAGGGACCCAGTCAACGGGCACTGAAAACGGGCGCCACAGACGGGCACCTTGAAAACAAAAAACGGTCCAACCCTATCCAACCTGAACTCTTGTGAGCTGCATGTTGCTGGAATGATGGAACCCCGTACAAGTGGGGCATGCGTTGACAAATCAATTATCGGATCGTATCGAACACATCTGTGAGCAACCCACCCTACGGCCCCTACAACCAAATCTATCAATTGAAGACCTACAGCCGACACACCCTTCATTCGGGAAAATTTGTCAATTCTGTTATGTTTTACAAGCAGGATTGTCGGCTGTATCTTGCACATGCTTGCCACAGGAATCCAATCACAAAAAAAACCTTTCACCCACTGTACTGGACATAATAATATAATACTTTGGCTCAGGTTCCCAAGACAAGTGTTGGCAAACCCATGTTGACCGTAGCCGTAGACCCCTTGAAATTCTAGATCCACACCTATGAGAAGCCTCCCCATCATAAACACCTCCATTTCGGAGGCTGGGGTTGAGTGGGCTTAATAACATTTCGGAGGTGTGCTGGGTAAGCCACAAGTCATATGATTACGGAGAAAAGGGAAGGTGATGGAGCTTGGCATGGGACTCCTTGAAAAAGTAACCACAGGACACCCTGTCCCTATAGTTCTGGCTATACAAAAGGTACGTGGAGGTGTATTTCTTCCAATGAAAATTATGCAACATGATATCTCCAAGCACCAAGGCCGAAAGGACATCACACCTGATCTGTAACCTCCATCTAGGATTCATGGATGTTTCCACCAATTCGATTGAAAGCACCACTAATCCAGTACTCTCCGTGCCGAGACTTGAGTTTATCTAATCCCTACAGTAGCGCCACTACATGCGACATTCGCAGCCGGTGCCAAGTATACTGCCCCAGGACTGGCGCAGGAAGAAACGGGACCCTCGCGACGCTCTCCTCCTCATCCTTCGGATCGGCACAGGGCACCGGCATGGACGGGGTGCCGGTTTTCCACGTGAAGCACCGGGCGGTCTGAGCCACTGGAGCGGCGAGGTGGGCGCGGTGGGCGGAGTGGAGGGGAAGCGCTGGAGTCATGAGCCCTTGGATGACCTTGGTCACCGGTCACCTATAGGAGTCCCTGTGAATCCTCGATGGTCAAAGCTCACTCCTTCGGAAAACTGATGTAATTACTTTTTATACTTTATAGTACCCTGCAAGTCCAACTCCTAAGTTTAACTTGGCCGTTAATAACTACT